TAGGGAAAAGGAGGAAGCAGGCAGCTTCCAACTTTCAGTCCATCCACGACTAAAACCTCTTGTAGTTTGTCATGTCTCCATATCTCTTTTATGATGTTATGATATAGAAGCCCAGATACATCATTATGCAAATTTCAAGCTCACATTCATTTTCCAAATATGCTAAATTTGCATATTCACATTTACTTGATATAGCTTGTAGCTTCCACTCCAGAAGTGGACTGAGTTTTAGCTGCTCAGTATTTCTATATACCTTGATGTGCAGGGCTCAGACACTGATCATGGCTGCTCCCATATAACACTAAGTCCACAGTCTAGGCTCTGACACATCAAAATTTTCAGTACACTATGAGTTTTTATAGGCTGGAGAAAGGCATGTTCAAGAACTCCCCTATGATATTTGCATATACTTTTGTTCTCAAGTTGAAAACTGTTTTGAGATTTCTTGGGTTTTGAAGGTTTTTTGTAATGCCTACTTTTTATTTATCTGCTTTTTTTCTCTGAAGCACAGGACATGCATGCAACTCATGATTTCATGTGTATGTGATCTGGTTTTCAATACTTCTGTTAATTATTTAAAGATTTCTTTGGCATTCAGGTATTAAAACACTGTAGCCAGTGAAAGTAGCAGAGGTTATCATCCTAGGGCTATTCTTGGTAGTGGGAAGGAGAGTTCTGACTCTACTAACAGTTCTGTCTTGAAATATTTCTGAACAGAATTCCTAGCAGGGACGTCACATTGGGCGCATTATGCAAACTGCTGCTATAAGGCACTCAGTCAAATGAAGCAGGAGGAGTTGTTCACTGTGAGTGTAGCCACGTGCCAAATGTGGCAGTCTGGCCCTGCTTCAAGGCATCCCCTCCTCTCGCCCATGCACCCCGTGCAATTAATTATTGATTTTGACGAAAGAGCTACCTCACTTCCATTAAAATGAACACCTTGTTTTAATGACTGCAGTTGTCTATTAGGAGTGTGTTCATATTTGTGGTCATATGAGGCGTGTCTTGGGTTTCGATAGTTCTGTCTGCAGAAGCTTGGAACTGGCCATGGGCATGCTTGCTGTGTTTCTCAGCTGCAGTCACTTCTGCTGTAGTGGCAAACCCAGCTGTATTTGGTTGTGTGCTGCCAGGGCAAGAACAGCTGTTAGCACCAGATCCAAGTGGGTTAGACCCAACTCAGGTGCCTGCCTAAGGAAGTCACTCTATTGCATGAATTCCATTCCCTCTTCAGGCTGCTCTGGAAGGTCACAAAGAATATAGTTGGGTTTTGTTTTCTCCGGTTAACAATTTTATCATTCTGAGCTTTCTGCACCTTTTTACAAACCACTTTAATAGTCTATGTTAGTTCACAAGAGACAAGGGAAAAATAAACTAAGTTAGCAATCTGACGTTCTCAAGCCTTGAAAAGACTGAGATTTCCAACTTTGGTATGTGTCCTCTAGAAAATGTATATAAACATCTGTTTCAGTACGTTTCAAAAGTAATAGGTATTTGAGAAGAAGTCTATAACTGTAAAAGATTTGATTTTTTTCTTGACTGGGACAAAGCTGTAAAATCAAAATGACTAATTTTGTTCTTAGGCAAGAAAAGGGAAAATTCAATTTCTTTTAGTTTCAGAGGAGGTTGGACTTACAGCTGAGGGATTTCCTAAAACAAAGGAGAACTAAGTAACATCTTTGTATATTGGGACAAGTAAAATTACTATCAGTAATTGGCCAGGTGTTCTTTAACAGGAAATAAAATCAATATACTTCTCAGCTTTTAATGAAGGGTAACAACATAAGATAGTACCATTTATTCTTTCTGTTATATTAAGTTCCGAATAATACAAGCTTTTCAAAATTGATATTCCATCACTTTTTGCTTTTATTTTCTCTGACCATGCTTAATGATAGTGCATCAGTTGCTACTTAGTGGTGCATGTTGAATTACTGATTTTAATGCATTGAAATGTTCCTGGTAGGCATTCTTACTGGTGGATGCTTTACTTCGAGAAACTTTTTTTGTCTTCTGGGCAAACACTGCTTTAAGTTACTCTGTTCTGAAACCATGATCAAATAGTTTAAAGAAGAAAGCTTAAAGCTTACCTAAAAGGATGGTAAATTGGTTTGGCAAAATCTTCTGTAGAAGGCAGTTGCTATCCCCAGGAATCAGTGATCCTTTTCAAAGAGACAGGCTGTCAAGATACTTCTCCAGCACCAAATATATCATAACTGATTTTCTCTAGGGCAAGGGGAATGAGAAGTGGCCTTAAAGAAAAAAGGAGTAGCAATCTCCCCCCAAAACAGCAGGTGTTTTCTTCAACTGATGTGTGTCAGGGGGATCAATTCTACTGTGGTGTGCACTGCAGTGAAGACAAAGCCAAAATTGTATACACAGGTATGAAGAGCAGAACCTACAGAACATTCAAACTCAGTATCCCTTATCTGAGGAAAAATAGAGGGGAGGTATTCCAAAATATTTGGAAGGCTTGCCTGAAGAAGACTACGTGGTTTTCATAATTGAAAAGGGGTTTTACTCTTTTTTTTTTCTTTTTGTTAAACTCAAATCAGAACCTTTCTTTTAAAATAACCTCGCTTGACTTAAATCGCCTTGTAATGGTCAAATTGTTATTTAGGAGTTTCTTATGTAATACCAAAACAAGTATCTGGATGTGGTTCTGTCTTTGTAGTTTTACAGTGAGAAATCAAAAGTATGAGGGGAAGGAGAGGAGACAGAAATGTCTGGCTAGTGGAATTCTGAAAGGATACTGTGATCAAACTAGTTTCTAGGAAATGCTTTTGCACTATGCAGTGTACTGGAAACCTCATAAATAAATAAGAAACTTTGCTTATATTTTTTAAATTATGTTCAGAAGCTCTAGCACATGCATTGAAACATCTCTTTGGCTGCTGTAGATACTGCTGTAAAAACTGGAAAACTTCTGGAACCTAAGTATTTAAATAAGTGCTACTGTATTTAAATGCAGACTTTTAAGTTGCTTATGGTTTTACTGTCTTTTCAATGATTAGTTTGATTTTTGATGCCTAACGTAAGCTAATTGTGTCGTGGGTTTTTTTTTTCAGGAGGAAGAGTTGAATTGTTGTTGTGTTTTCTCTCTCTCTCCCCCTCTCTTTCCAAAAATGTGTGGAAATCCTGAAACATTTAACTGTGTCTAACATCAAAACAAAGCACATTTTGGCTGAGGCTGGGGTGGTTGTGTTTTGTGTTTTAAGAAAAGGTAGTCTGTGGAAAGCTGTTCTGCCTTTATTTTCGGGAGAGGCTTTTGATACAGAATAATATTGTACTGGAAAGAACTGTACAATTGCTGAGAAAATTTGCTTAATTTTGTTGCCATTTTATCCTGTAAAATCTTTTTATATATGCTTTCAGAGCTCAAGCAAATTTAGTTATGGCACTTCCTGTCCCTTAAATGTTTTGATCTTGTTTTGCATAGCTGTGTATGTATTGTGTATGACAGTGAAACTGAAGCCAAATAAAGGTGCTTCAGTAGTAAAGACAGATATTTTTAATACATGTAATAGCTCTCTTTCCAATCCCCTTTGTAAGATGCAGGAACACTGTGGTGTTTGGGGTTTGGTTTTGGTTTGGTTTGGTTTTTTTCCCCCCTTAGAGCAGATTGTGCTATAAAAGCTATACCTAAACTGTGCAATCCAAAAGCATTACCCTTGTCTGTGCGCTATGTGTAGCTTGGATATATCTTTCCTCCTTGTCACTTTAGCTCTGGCATGCACACAATCCCATTCTTTCCCCAGCTGCGTTTTCAAAGCAGGGAGGCGGAGAGGACAGGGGTATGTTTTAGCTGGATTTAAGTCATTTAGGGACCTAGCCCTTCAATCAGGCCTGTGCCACATGGTTTAGAAGTAGCCAGACAGACTAATGTTTTGTCTAATCAGGTTTAATACTTCTACCCTAAGAAAAAAAGTACTTGCAGTCTTGATATACCTGTTACCAAATTAGCAAATTAGCCCTCCTCCTTTATCCTATTCAGTATCCATGAAATTATTCCAATGAAAAGATTCACTGTATGTAACTATACTGATGTGGGGACTGTGACCATACAAAATGAAAGGGATGATGTTCTGTTTTAAAGTCTGTGGCAGAGTTAGGAAGGCATGCTACACCTTGCCTCCTACTTGTTTCTTCTACTTACACAGATGTTCTTGGTCCTTGTAGTGTGGCTTCCTGTTGTGGTGTATGGCTCCAAGCCCTTCTAATGGGGCAGAGTTTCTCTATCATCGAATTATCCGGCCTTTCTTCTTGAAGCACGAAGCTCAGCTCGACAGTGTTGTTAAAGACCTGAAAGACAAGGCTGCAGAGACTGCAGATACTATCACTAAAGAAGGTGAGGAAAAGACTATTCACTAATCACATAAAGTAGGAGGAATTTCCCTAGGCAACTCTAATATTACATCATTTGGGGGAAAAAAATTGTAAAAAGACGATGTAAATTATAATGGAGAAGTTAAATTTGGGTGAAGATGCCAGGAAAAGAGAGTTGCAGTGGATCTTACTTTCTAGGAGTGCAGTTATGCTAGAATGCAAGCTGTATGAGTGGAAGAAACGGCTAATTAGTTTGTGTGTCTTCCCACCATACATATCACTATAAACACTCGCTCTATAGGCAGGTCCAAACATCTTCACAAGGTACCTTCCATAAATACAGTTATTGCTTCAGTGTATTCTTGTATCTCCTAAAATACCGTCTCGAATACCTGGTAGTATAAAGGGCTGCCAATTGTATAGTAAAGCAAATCCTTTAACTCCAACGAACAGAAACATGTGAAATGAAGTTTTCCCGTCTGTAAGTTTTTGTACTTTTCCTTCCTCTGGAGATCAAAGAATTCTGAGCCCACTCTTAAAGAAATTACTTAGGTTTTTATTTGGTTAGAATAAATTTTATCACAGCCTGTAGATTGCTTAATTTTTGCTTTTACTTCCTTGCGTTCTGTAGTGGACCCTCGTACTCTAAAACGTCTGATGAGTTTTATGAGTAAGGGAAGGAAAAGTATTAAGTAGCTAAAATAAAGGTTTACTTAAATTTCATTTGAAAGGAAATTTATTCATATTCAAAGCACCTTAAGTCTCCTTTCCCCCAGGGAGCGCTTGCAGTCTCATTTCCTCTTACCAACTTAAGCAGTTTTCCTGTTGGCAGTTAAATGATCTGCCTTTCTCAACTACACTTGGAAATTTTGGTCCATGACCCTTCCTGAATCTGTATTGTTAGACAGATGTCTCAATATTCTTCCATGTTGCACATGGGATTTTTCTGTCCTCATTCCGTCATTTATTCTTCTTTTTCCTATTTTTACATACCAAGATTTCCACATATATTTTTTAATAAGTCACGTGCACACACATGCATGTACACACACACATATTAGCGTTATTCCAGCCCTATTTCATCAGCTTGGTAGTAGATTTCTTGCTGTAAACCTGTATGTCCTAAGCACTGTGAGCAGCTCTATTTTATTGATATAACAGTTGTAAGTCAGTCTGCGCTGTTTATTGTGCTGCTCCTTATGGTTTATTTTTTAAAATCTTTATATGATCAGTTTTATCACTCTGTGTGTGTGTGTGTATACAAAAGCTGTGATTTTCTTTTGTGATGTTTCTTTTGTGACCTTAAAGGAAAATTATTTTTTTTTTATGCAGCTCAAGAACACTGAATAAGCCACTTAGTCTGTAGGCCTCTAAGATTATACTTGTATAATCTTATTATT